TGTTCGTCACCCATCATCCCCTCCCCCATCTTCGCCCCTGTCCCCCAGTGCCCGTCATCCTCATCAAACGCTTATCATGGTTGCCGATGGTTCCGTTCAGTCAGCTCATTCGCCCTCTGCGGAGCGTGTGTTGAACGTACTCGTTCATGTGTTCTCGTTCGCCCATGTTTTGACGCATGGGTGGGTGTTGGCGCCAGGTTGAGCTTGTACTAGTGCTGCTTGTCTGGGGCAAGCATCGCCGTGCGATGACGCGGCGTTGGATCACCAGTGTCTCCAGAGGGTGGCCTACGCAAGTCACACTGGCGGTCAGGGCGTACGTTAGTCATCGGCCTCATTGTCTTCTTACTCTTCCCGCGCGCTCCCTCCCTCGACGCCGTATGGCTCTGACAGTTTTTCTGCATTGTATTTTGACGATCTGCACACTGTCGAATATGTTCGCTGAAGCACACATGGCGTCCCTGGGCACTGATGTCAGCGCGGAGGCGCGCGCGAGCTCTTTTTTCACCAGCTCCGCTGCCACAGCTCCTTCTGCCCCCCCCCCCTCCGGTCTGAAAGCCACGCTCCGTGGGCTTTTGAGCGCCTGGGGATCTGCGGCTTCGTTCAGTCCAAGTCGGATGATCGCGCCGCATGCCGCTGCATCGGCAATGTGGCTCGATATGGAGCCCGAGCTCACCGATGTATGGCGATGCGGCGCGATCCTCCGACCCCAGTAACTCAGATCCTGTTTGGGCGGCCTCCAATAGCTCCCTTCTGAGCCGACGAGGTGTTCTTGTTGTGACTGGCCGAGTGACCGATGAGGTCTATTCAAGCCTCCGTGTTGTCTCGAGGTGCCGCTTTTTGAGTATTCGTTGATCTCTCGCTGCTGAGAAGCATCCGCCGGTCCAGCCAGGGAACAGCAAAATGTGAACGGGTTCCTCTGCTGGCAGTGAAGGCGCACACATCCTTCAGCTGAAACTCGTCCATGGGAGTCTGAATATAACCGATTTCGAATGATAATGCTTATATATATATATATGTATATGCATATATAGATGTGTATGTGTCTGTGTTGTTGGTGTTGGTGTGTTGGTGTGTTGGTGTGCTGGTGTGTTGGTGTGTTGGTGTGTTGGTGTTGGTGTTGGTGTTGGTGTTGGTGTTGGTGTTGGTGTTGGTGTGTGTGTGTGTGTTGGTGTGTGTGTGTGTGTGTGTGTGTTTGTGTGTGTGTGTATGTCGGAGTAGGCTGGGGGGGGGAGGGGGGGCGAGCCGCTGCTTGTTCCCCCCATAGGTGCCTGCCAGTGTGGGGGGGTCCAGAGCTCCCGAGGCGGCGCGGGCCCGCCCCGAAACACGCCACGACAGGCTGATGGGGGTTCCGAGAGGGCCCAAGACGGCCCCAAGAGGCCCCGAAGACGCCCAAGATGCCCTCAAGACGGCCGACGAGGACTCCAACGCGCTCCAGCACGGACTCAATCAAGAGGCCCCCCAAGAGGGACCTTGGAGGCACAATTCACCTAATTTCTTAGTTTTTTGGATTGATTTTGGCGCTCTCGCTTTTCCCGCTTTCCAGCGCTCCCTCACGGCCTCGGGGGTCCTTCAGATCGCTCCAAGGCGGCCCACGAGGCCCCGAAGAGGGCCCCAAGACGGCCCAGGAGGCTCCCCAGACAACCCAAGTGTGCCCCAAGAGGGGACCCAGAGGTGTCCCGAGGCGGCCCAGGCCTGCCCTGGAACAGGCCAAGACAGGCTAAGGGGGTTCTGAGTGGGCCCAAAACGGTCCCAAGAGGCCCCGAAGACGCCCAAGATACCCTCAAGACGGCCAACGAGGACTCCAGCACGCTCCAGAACGGACTCAAGAGGCCCTCCAAGAGGGTCCTGGGCGGCACAATTCACTAATTTTCTTAGTTTTTTTGGGATGGATTTTGGCGCTCTGGCTTTGCGGCCCACGAGGCCCCCGAAGAGAGCCCCACGACGGCCCAGGAGGCTCCCCAGACAACCCAAGTGTGCCCCGAGAGCGCCCCAAGAGGGCGCCCAGAGGGGTCCCGAGGCGGCCCGGGCCCGCCCCGAAGCAAGCCACGACAGGCTAAGGGGGTTCCGACGAGGACTCCAACACGCTCCAGGACGGACTCAAGAGACTCCCCAAGAGGGCCCTGGGAGGCAAAATCCATTTATTGTCCGATAGTTTTTTGGGAAGATTTTGGCGTTCTCGCTTTTCCCGCTTTCCAGCGCTCCCTCACTGCCTCGGAGGCCCTTCAGATCGCTCCACGACGGGCCACGAGGCCCCGAAGAGAGCCCCAAGCTGGCCGCAGGAGGCCCCCTAGACAACCCAAGTGTGCCTCAAGAGCGCCCCAAGAGGGGCCCAGAGGGGGACCGCCAACCGCTATTTCGAAGTCTACAGCACCTAGAGGCCCCCAGTGGGCCCCCGGAGGCCACCAAGAGGCTCCCACGAAGCCCCGTGAGACGCCGAAGAGGCCCCAAGGAATCCCGAAGATACCCCCAGGGCGCTCCCACGGAACGCCCAGGAGACCCCCCAACACACCTCAACAAATCATGTCCCTAGAAAACCTTCCGGGGACATGTTTCATCACTGGCCCGAGAGTCTCTGGATTCTCCGAAGAACCACCACGCTACCGGAGAGTTGTTTGGGAAGTTGATTGGGAACATGACTCGTCGCCTTCACGCGGCCCCCCGCAGATCGTTTCGCACAAAGTTGCCCCAAGTGCCCACTTGAACCGACGACGACGACGACAACGACGACGACGACGAAGACGACAAAACGACGAAGAAGAGGACGACGACGACGACGGCACGCCCCGACTGGCTCCCGAAGACGTCCCCAAAGCCCATGTTCCCAGAAGGCCTTTGGGAACCGAGCTCATCCGGCCTCCGCCCCCTACGCCACCATATTCCCCGAACGCCTTCTGGAACGCGGATGGACATGCCTGGAGTGGGGTCCAGTATGTCAGTGGAGCAGAGAACTCGTCAAGGCCTCGGGCCTGCTGGAACCATCGCGCGCGAGAAGCGCGCGCGATGGTTCGAGGATATAAACGTAGGAATGCATGTGCACATCCCGCGGGGGCATCCCTACGGATCTGCTGTCAGATGCGCTCGCTCCGTTGTCCTGCTCTCTCTGACTCTTGGCGCTCCGTGTGCCCCCGCCGGCCCCTCCAGAGAGCACTCCCGGACCGCGTGCCGCGAGAAGGGAAGTGGAGGGGCCCAGTAGGGAAGCAGGTAGCGTTAAGTCGGGTTGGTCCCTCCACCGGAGGAATATTATAAAACTGTAAAAAATTGCCCGGGAACGATTTTTCGAGTATGTTTGAGACTTCTTGTTTGTTACAGTACTTTTTGACTGTTCTTATCGTTCGTCCAAAATCCGCCTGTAGAGGGACACGCGGGAGCACCAGCCAATTCGAAGATGGGTTCAGTCTGGGCAGCCACCAGCACAGCCAATGTGAGAAGTTTGGGGAGCAACCTGGAGGCCTGCCAGGCAAGATGGGGTCTCCCTTGAGACCTCTTCTTGGTCCTCTTGGAGCCCGGTACCCTTGGAGCACTCTTGGGCAATTTTGGGGCTGTCTTGATATTCCAGAGGTCCACCGACAGTCAGGAAGGAGAGAATGCAGAAGGCGTGGAGTAATCTCATGATTCCATGGTTCTCAAGAATGTGAACCTCTCGTGTGCCACCGGCTCGCGCGGACCACCTCACACCTCAGAGCAGTCTTGGGGTCTTCTTGGGGACCCCCGAAGCCATGCTGGAGGCCATCACGAGGCCATCACGAGGCCAACGTGGGCCGCCGTGCGTCATCCCAGAGGCCGTCTGGCGCTAACTGGGGCCGTCTGTGGGCCACCCAGGGCCGCCTCGGACGCTCTACGGGTACTCCAGATTTCGTAATAAAAGGGAGGGGGTCTCATTTCGGGGGGGGTCTCTTCCAGGCTATCTTGGAGGGCCTGGGGGGGTCTGGGGACGATGTTTTGGAGGGTTCTCCCACGGGGGGGGGGTCTGAAATAGCTTGTCTTGGATGGTCCAGACCCCCTCCCTTTTATTACGAAATCTGGAGTAACTAGCAGCGGCCGCCCCTGCCGCCCGCCCCTTCAGACACCCTGGGACGAGACCGGGGAAGGGAGAAAGGCCACCGCGAAGGGAAGGGCGAGGGAAGGTTGGATGAGCTGGCACGCCGAACCACTTGTGCCGACGGAGGGGCTGGTGTGACTTATCCACTCGCACCCGGTTGAAAGAGCTTGAAGCGAGCATGCTGAAGAGCCCCCGTACACGCGTGAGCGTTTGGCACCTTAGTTGATTCTGCCTACAGTTCCCTTGACACGACTTACACTGGTGCCTTTCATTCTCGAGTGGGATGTGGACCGTGGTGGTTTCTGATTCGTTTTGGTTTCATTTTGTCTGTATCTTTTGGCACGCTCCAGACCTGGCCTCGTTTTCTCGCTCGTCTTGCCTGCGGCGAACGGCCGGCCGAAGTGCGGCGGCGGCAGGCCCGTCGGTGGAAGCCGGCGGAAGGCGGCGGAGAGCAGAGCGAGACGTCGACGTGTCTGGGTTCAGGTTTCCAGGAGTCGGCCATCCAGAGACTGTTGATTCAAGGGAGGAAAGTCCACCCGGACCAGACAATTGGCGTTTACTACACGGCCTTGGGCGTTTACTAAGCAGCCCTGCCTTGTTCGATTCCTTCAGTGGGGGCGTTTAGTAAACGGCTTCGCGTGTCGGGGTGGTTATTCTTAGGGGTGGATTCTTTGCCCTCGATTGATGTCTGCGCAGGCCCGTGGGCCCGCTCCGTGACGACTGGCCCCGCGAGTCCCCCAGGCCGGGGCAGGAGGAAGAGGGTAGGCCTAAGTCGTGCGGGTCCTTCTACAGGGGGAAATAGGCAAAAATGGCAAAAAATAGTCGGGGGACGATTGTTCTTGACTATGTTCGAATATGGGGAGGGTCTTTTGTGAGTATTTTTTATTTATCGCCCAGAATCCCCCATGTAGGGGGCCACGCCCGACTTAAGGGTAGGCGGAGGCGAAGGAGGAGGGAAGTGGGGGGGGAGAAGCGGCGACGGCAGGGGGAGGGCGGGAGAGGGCGGGAGGGGGGGAGGGAGGGGAGAAGCTGAATCGGCTCCAGGATCGGAATGCATCGCTCCAGAGGTTTCCAGAGCGCTCGCAGAGCGTCCCAGAACGCTTTGGAGAGGGCCGTGGGGCCCGGTGCGTCCCCAGAACGGCCGGATCTCAGAGATTCCCCACTTTTCCCGATCCGAGTGGCCCCGATGGTGCTTCCGTTTGGGGAGGTGCGGGATGGGATCGAGTCGGCAGGGGGGAACGTCAGGCCCTGCTGCCCGCTCCTCTGCTGCAGCTCGCCCGCGCGCCGAGGGGGGGAAGCGAGCGGGGGCAGGCCTTCCCCAGAAGGCGGCGAGGCTTCTCGGCAGCCCTCCGGCCTTCTGCGATGCCCCCGCGGCCCCGGAGGAGGCTTTTTGGGATGCAACTCCCGGGAGGTCCACTTCTGATGTTGCCCTGGTCCCAATTCCGGCGCACTCCGGCCGAGTCCTGCTAGATCTGGCTCAATCCCGCCCAGTCCCGCTTCATCCGGATTAGATTAGTCCCGCTTATAATCCGAGGCCCACCCTCTGGCGCAGCGCAACAGCCCCCAAATGAATGGGGTTTAATCTCCCTTCTATCCTTCCGACGCAGGCCTCCCAGCAGTTGCCTCCTACAAAGTTCGGAGGTGGATGGACCCCCTACCCTGACACCACGACTAGTGAATTGGCCGTTTTCGGTTCGCGAGAGGGCGTCGCGGCCGTCATTTTTGCGGGTCGAGGTCCGTCGGTTTCGGTCCCAGGCCGTTTTCATTAAGGGGAGGTTTACGAAAGGGAGGTCTGTCCACCGCCGAAAAGTTCAGGAAGTTCAATCCTCCCTTCTATCCTTCCGACGCAGGCCTCCCAGCAGTTGCCTCCTGCAGAGTTCAGGAGGTGTCTCAGGGGGCCTGCCGAGCCCTCCGAGAAGGCAATGCCCCCCCTCGGCTCTCCCCCTCGGCGCGCGGCCCGGGCCGGGTTCGGGAGGGGCTCGGCGGCTCACCGGGTCTGCTTGCGTTGTTTGTTCTGCTCTGGCGTCCCTCTTCGGATGGCATCTTCAAACACATCCCATCACATAGGCAGGGGAAGTTGTCTTTTACAGTATTATTCAGGACTGTGTTTGGGCATGTTGTGACTATTTCGCGTCCCTCTTCGGATGGCATCTTCAAACACATCCCATCACATAGGCAGGGGAGGTCGTGCTTTTTTTGCAGCATTATTCTGGACTGTGTTTGGGCATGTTGTGACTATTCTGCACTCTTCGCCGCACACCCGCCTGCAGGAGGCCATGCCCGACCTACGCCTCGTTCCCCTCCTTCGGCGCGCCCGCGGGCCGTGCCACGCCTGTGCCCCGCCTGCTCCTCGAGCCCCCGGCGCCCGAAGGAGGAGGAGGAGGAGGAGGAGGAGGAGGAGGAGGAGGAGGAGGAGGTGGAGGCGTTGGAGGCGGAGGAGGAGGAAGAGGAAGAGGAAGAGGAAGAAGAATAATAATAAGAAGGGGGAGGAGGAGAAGGAGGAGGCCAGGACCGGGACCCCCGCGCCGAGGAGGGCGGGCTGCCGCCCCGCTGCGTCTTCGACGCGCTGGCCCTCGAAGCGGGCACCGGCCCGCCCCCCGCCGAGCCCCCCCGCCTGCGGGGCCCGATCTCCGAGCCTCCGCTGCCCTGCCCCTCTCCTCCTCCTCCCTCCTTTCTCTCCTCCTCCTCGCTCCTCCTCCTCCTCCTCCTCCCCTCCTCCTCCTCCCCGCCTCCCCTACCTCCTCCTCCTCCTCCTCCTCCTCCTCCTCCTCCTCCTCCTCCTCCTCCTCCTCCTCCTCCTACCTCCTCTCCCCTCCTCCCCCTCCTCCTCCTCCTCCCCCTCCCTCCTCTCCTCCTCCTCCTCCTCCTTCTCCTCCTCCCGCTCTCCTCCTCCCTCCTCCTCCTCCTCCTCCTCCTCCTCCTCCACCTCCTCCTCCTCCTCCTCCTCCTCCTCCTCTCCTCCTCCTCCCCCCCTCCTCCTCCCCTCCTCCTCCTCCTCCTCCTCTCCTCCTCCTCCTCCACCTCCTCCTCCTCCTCCTCCTACACGCGCAGGGGGGGGAGGGTCGGAGGGGAAGGCTTCTGGAAGCGCCCCTGCTTCTTACAGCCGCGGGCCTCGTCTGCGGATGTGAGCCGCGCCTTTCCAAGAGCTGCCTTCTTCTAAGAAGCCTTCCCCCCCAACCCCCCTACCCCCCTCTGCGCGCCGCCACATGACACCCAACGCTCACCTTGTTCAGAACGTCCGTGTTGACACGCTGCGTGCTGGCTCAGAGTGCTGGCCCACGTTTTTCGAAGAAGGAAAAAGCCACAAACATAAACTTTCGTCGCTCCGCCCGGAGTTCTTGGATCCGCGCTGCGGCCCCCCCAGCGGTGCCTCAGGCGCCGCCCCTGGCGCGCTCCGCGCGCCAGAGAGGGGGGCCCAGCGCAAATCCAAGAAGTCCGCGCGGACCGTCGAACGTTTATGTTTATGCGTTCATGTCTTCCTCCATGGACACGCTGCGGGCTCGGAGTGTTGGCCCACGTTCTTGGGGCGAGGAGGTGGCGCCCAGCGCGCGTGGTGTGCAGCCTCCGCGTGCCAGCTCCGCGTCCGCCCGCCACTGGTGGCGTGCTGCGCGTCGGGGCGGCTGAGCTCGGGTCCAGTCGATGCGGTTTGATCTTCCGGCCGGCTCGATTTGATCCGATGCCGAAGTGCCGACGATCTCAGGGGCGACGCCAGGAGGGGAGAGGCTCAAGGGGGGGATGCATCGACCCCAAGTCGCCCATCGATCGCCGGCCGGGGCCCAGCAGCCCACCTCGCCCAGGACCATGCGCTTTCGCTTCCGCGGGCCTGCCGCCGAGCTAGGGGCGATGTGTCGCCGGTTCCGGGTGGGTTTCCCCCCCCAGGAGTTGAACACCTCCAGCTTGTGCTTACCAGCCTCGAACGTATCCCTATCCCTAAGATTGACACGCCAAAAGGCGATGACAATCTTAGGGATTCGCCCTCGAAAAAAAAGGAAATCCCTAAGATTGGCATCGTGATGAGGAGATGCCCAGCATAGGGATAGGGATATGTTCCAGGCTGGTTATGTGCCCCCTCAGACTTCGATGCGGCTCGACGACCTGCGTGGCGCTGCCGTGCATCCCGGCGCGGCCTGCTGGTTCCTTGGGGCACGCTTGGGCTCGAGCAAGTCACGCGAGAAGACGCGGCAGGGCCCAGGAGGTGCGCGACGAGCCCGCAGAGATTCAATGATCTGGGCCTCGGCGACATAAAACTCTTCAGGAGCGCTCGAGGGATTGGGCAGAGGACCTGAGGACGCACCCACTCCGTGCCCAGTGGCACGGTGGCGGATTAGTTGGCAGGAGTCGTGCCCCTCCCTCCCCCCCCACGCACGCGCGCGTGATAGGCCATCGCGGTCGCATCTGATGGAAATGTTGAAGCGCCCATGGTTGTCTCAAGGATTGGCCAGAGCCGGCGCGCAGACCTTTTGAGTACTATACTGCAGAACCACGGGTGCTTTCTATGATTTCGGGGAACTCGATCTTGGAATCCTTACGACACGCTTGTAGATAAACCAGGCATGCGCGCACGACGACGCACGCGTGTCGACGTATTCCCGGTTTTGCCTGGGATATGGGTTTTGATAAACGAGCGCGCGTGCATACCTCATCCGACCGGGACGAGGAGAGGTGTCCATGAGGGGTTTGGCTGGGATGATCCGGGTTCATTTTATAGATGAAAGATGGGCCAGACTCATATCCAAAGTGTAGTATCCCAAAGGGAACCATTGAAGCTAGGGTGGGGGTAGACCCGATTTCATGAGAATCTGTGTCGTGCAATCTAGGCGGCGACGAAGCGGCGACGGCGAGCACGGAGCCGCAAGACCGACAACCAGGCTCAGACGAGGGGCGGTCACGAGGCGGCGACGGCGAGCACGGAACCGCCAGACCGGCATTCACGCCCACATGATTGGCGGCGACGGGGCGGCAACTGGGCGGCGACGACGAGCACGGAGCCTCCAGACCGACATTCAGGTCCAGCTCCTTAGAAGAGAAGGAAGAACCCTTGAGTGCAAGCACTTTTGGGGGACCTAGTCTGAGTGCTAACGATATTGCTCGGCGGCGACCCCCCATCCGGAATTCATTGATCATTCAATCGCTTCGCTCATTCCGCCGGCTCTTTTTTGGGCACTGCTGCGTCGATTGGCCGAGTGGTCGTTGGCGGTGTTGAGCTTCAGGGGCGTCGTCTGTTTTCTGAGGCGTTGCGTGGGGCATGATGCTCGGGCGATTCGTTTGGATTTCTTAGGAGTTGTCAGGGGAATCGGTCGCTTTTCAGGGGGCGGCTAGTTGTATAGTGCTTTGTTGGACTTCGGGTGCTTTCGTGGGGGGTTGCTGATCGTGGATGCTCACTCTGGAGCTTCTCCATGGGGCGCAGGGGACATCTGATGCGGCGGTGTTGGGGTCTCCTAGCAGGTGTCTCGGAAGCGTTTTGGAGGCAGTTGTGAAGCTTCTTGAGGCCTCGTCAGGGCCGTTTTGGTTGCCCTGGGGGCTTGTTTTTAGGCCTCCCAGAGGCTTCTTGGGACTTCTGGGTGCTTCTTAGGAGCCTGCTGGCGGTCTCGGAGGGGCCCCTGGGGTCGGAAAGTTTCGAATGTCATTTCGACTTCCCTCTGGGGGCGTCTTGGGCCGTCTTGGAGCCCTCTTGGGCCTTCTTGGAGCCCTCTTGGGCCCTCTTGGGCGAATCTTGGGGGCATGTTGGGCCATCTTGGGGCGACCTTTGGGGGCTCTTTGGCAGTCTTGGACGCTGTGAACCTCCGAACGTCGTCTATGCCAGAAATGCACGTTTCTCCAGGGATATGGATCGATCTTTGATTGTTGGGGCCCTCTTGGATGGCCTTTTGAGGCTCTCCTTGAGCTTCTCGGCGGCGTCTAGGGCCGTCTGGAGACCAGCATGGGCATCTTGGAGCAATCGTTCAGCGACTCGGGGCCCCTTGGACCGTCTCGGGGGCGTCTCGGAGCCTTCTTGGCGCGGTCCTGGAGCGCTCTGGGAGGCCTGGAAGGCAGCCCGCTTGGGTCGTCTTGGAGCCCTCTTGGGCCCTCTTGGGCGCATCTTGGGAGCATGTTTGGCCATTTTGGGACGATCTTGGGATGCTCTTGGGCAGTCTTGGACGCTGTGAACCTCCGAACGTCGTCTATGCCAGAAATGCACGTTCCCCCAGGGATATGGGACGCTGTTTGATTGTTGGGTCCCTCTTCGATGGCATCTTGAGGCTCTCTTTGAGCTTCTCGGCGGCGTCTAGGGCCATCTGGAGACCAGCATGGGCGTCTTGGAGCAGTCTTACAGCGACTCGGGGCCCCTTGGACCGTCTCGGGGGCGTCTCGGAGCCTTCTTGGCGCGTTCCTGGGGCGCTCTGGGTGACCTGGAGGGCAGCCCTGTTGGGCCGTTTGGGAGCCCTTTTGGCGCATCTTGGGGGCATGTTGGGCCATCTTGGGGCGATCTTTGGAGGCTCTTGGGCAGTCTTGGACGCTGTGAACCTCCGAACGTCGTCTATGCTAGCAATGCACATGTCCCTAAGGACATGGGGCGGTTGTTGCTTGTCCCTCTTGGAGGGCCTCTTGAGGCTCTCTTTGAGCTTCTCGGCGGCGTCTAGGGCCGTCTGGTGACCAGCACGGGCGTTCTTGGAGCAATCTTTCGGCGGCTCGGGCCCCTTGGACCGTCTCGGAGCCTTCTCGGCGCGTTCCTGGAGCGCTCTGGGAGGCCTGGAGGGCAGCCCTGTTGGTCCGTTTGGGAGCCCTCTTGGGCGCATCTTGGGAGCATGTTGGGCCATTTTAGGGTGATCTTGGAAGGTGCTTGGGCAGTCTTGGACGCTGTGAACCTCCGAACGTCGTTTATGCCAGCAGCGTACGTTTTCCCACGGAAATGTGACGATTTTTGTTTGTTGGGCCCTTTTGGAAGGCCTTTTGAGGTTTTCTTGGAGCTTCTCGGCGGCCGTCTGGAGACCAGCATGGGCGTCTTGGAGCAGTCTTACAGCGACTCGGGGCCCCTTGGACCGTCTCGGGGGCGTCTCGGAGCCTTCTCGGCGCGTTCCTGGAGCTTGGAAGTCAGCGCCGAGGAGGAAAACCATCTAAGAGCCGCACTGGCCAGGACCTGCTCGGAGTACTTTTCGTCAGGGAGCCCCCAGAAGCCGCCCCGCGCGCGCGAACTAGAATCTATTGTTAACCAGTTGCCGGAGATCTTAGCACGCCTCTGGCCCAGTGGGCCAGCGAACTTTGAGTGCTAGGTATAACGGGGGGGCATCGATAATTGGTCCCCAGGCTTCGACAGCGAGTGAAATACTGGGGATGACATCAGCGCGCCTGCGTGCTTCGCAGTCCTCGGGCCCGCCTCAGACGAGCGAGATCGGGCCTTTGAGAGCACGTTGGGGGCCGCTCGCTCCCAAACACCAGAGCGATCCCCATCTTCGCGGCCAGGCATGGCCGCCCTCCATCCGCATCCGCGTTGCCGTCCTCATCTCAGGAGGGACAAAAAAACCACAGACACAATTAATCGTCGATTCCCTAGAAAATGTGGGAAACTATGGGAAGTGGGGGGGAAGACAAAAACCTAGAAAATAGAGGCAAATATGGGGAATCCTTTTATTTGTGTGTATTTATGTGTGTGTCCCAGTTCTCCTTCGTCATCATCCTCATCCCAATTCCAGGAGCCAGCCACATCCTCGGTGAGTCTCTGGATGCATCCCCCGATGTCGTGATTCGTTCGCAGCGTAGACCCCCGCGAGCAACGCCCCATCTCCAAGATCGGCTTTCCGTCCAGAGTTTTTTTTTTTCTCAGACGGCAATGGCTGGAAGTCTTCCGTTGTGATGTTGTCACGGCGCGAGGGGGTCTGAGCACCAGGACAATTTTTCATCATCGGGGGCATCCTGTAGGTCAGTGGCAACGTTAAGGGGGTGGTGGGCTCAGAAGGGGGTGCGTCGCCCCCCGCTCGCCGATCGGGAGCCTGTCAGCCCACCCCGCCCAGGAACTTGCGGATTCTCTATGGGGCGCCGATTCGACGATCTCTCGCCGCTGCACGGTCAAGACGCTGCAACTGTGACCGCTCGGGGCTCGGGAGGGGCCCCGGGTCTTCGGGCCTTCCCTTTCGATTTCTGCCGTGGAACCTGCTGGTGGCCCAGGCCCGCTGCGGCAGGGGCGCCTGCGATGCGATGCGATGCGCTTCCATTCGCCAGCTGGGGCCGCGAGCCCTGGCAGGCGCGCCTTCCCCCTCCTCCTCCTCCTCCTCCTCCTCCTCCTCCTCCTCCTCCTCCTCCTCCTCCTCCTTGTGAGTGAGTGAGTGAGCTGGGGCCGCGATTCCGATTCGATCAAAGTCGGTCCATCTTGCCAGCACCGGCCGGTGCCCTCCGGAGCCTGGCGCGGCGGTCCGCTGCCGATCCGATGCGGGACGCGATCCGCCGACGATCCGACCAGTTTCCGATGCGATTCGATGCCTCGATGCGCTGCAGCTCATGCCTGCTTGGCCCTTTCGTTCCTGAGTTCCCGCCCCCCCTGGGCCGGTCCTGTGGCTGACCCAAAAGGGGGTCCAGGTTCAAAGGGATGGTGCAATAGAATTGGTGCAATCGATCTGTGGTTTGCAACAGATCTGGGGCGTGCCATACATTACCGGGCGCAAGGGTACGGCAGGATTGTCTGGCGTGCAATACAGTGATTGCAATACAATGCAAACAAGTTCTTTGGCGCAATACATTTGCAGCACCGTTGCCCCAAATCTATTGCACACCCCCTTTCAGCTGGACCCGCTTTGGGGGTTCCCCGGGGTCCGCCTCGAACGATGGGCCTGTCTTCCACCACCACTACCATAACTTCATGGGGGGAAGGAGGTGTAGGATGAGGAGGTTGAGGAGGAGGACGGAGAGGAGGAGGAGGAGGAGGAGGAGGAACCCCTCCCCCTCCTACTTAGGGTGGTGGCGGTGGAAAAGAAGCCCGCCAATCGTTGCCCCATCGCTCCCCCTCGGGCGCCAGGCGTCGCCGCCCGCCAGCGGCCCCGCCGAGCCTGGGCCACGGTGCAGGCGGCAGCGGCGGTGCGCAGGCCAGCACCCCCCCACGCAGCGCTGCCGTTTTGGTGCTCCGCTTTGGAGGAGGAGGAGGAGGAGGAGAAGGAGGGGGAGGAGGAGGATGAGAAAAAGTGAGGGGTGATGATGATGATGCTAATGCTGATGGTGATGGTGCTGATGATGATGATGATGATGATGATGATGATGATGCTGATGATGATGATGATGATGCTGATGATGATGATGATGATGATGATGATGATGATGATATGAATGATGATGAATGATGATGATGATGATGATGAATGCTGATGATGATGATGATGATGATGATGATGATGATGATGATGATGATGATGATGATGATGAGATGATGATGATGATGATGATGAGAGGAGAGAAGAAGGAGGAGGAGGAGGAGAAGGAGGAGGAGGGAGGAAGAGGGAGGAGAAGAGGAGGAGGAGGTGGAGGAGTGGGGGGGCGGGAGGAGAAGGGGAGAGGGAAGGAAGGAGGAGAGAGGAGGAGGAGGAGGGAGGAGGAGGAGGAGGAGGAGGAGGAGCAGGAGGAGGAGGAGGAGAAGGAGGAGAAGGAGGAGGATGAGGAGGGGGAGGAGGAGGAAGAGGAGGAGGAGGGGGGGGGGAGAAGGGCAACATCTGGTCCTCGCCCCCCCTCTGATACGCCTCCTGCGTTGAGCTGTCCTGCCATCGACTAGACGTAAGAGTGACCCCTTCGCCGGAGTGACCTTTGGTGCGGGCCCAATGGGGTCCCCTGATCGCCGAACGCGATGCAGTAGTGGCGTGTTGCGCGCTTGTGTCTTTCCCCCCCGGCCCCCCAAAAAGCCGCGCACCAAAGGTCACTCCTACCCAGGATAACTCTTGCGTGTAGCCGATGATACGACTGGTCTGAAACGCAACACGCGCCGTGTGCGAAACGTCCGTGTTCACACGCTGCGTGTTGACTCGGCGTGTTGGCCCTCGTTTTTTGCGAGCGTCGCGCGCCAGCGTGCGCCTTCGATCTCCATGCTGAGCTCCGTGTCAACACGCTGCATGTTGCGTGTTGCGTATCGAGGCAGCTGAGGGCCTGCGGGCCTCGAAGACGCCTGCAGCCAAGACGCTGAAATAAGGAACGCCTCGGGTGCGGAAGGGGCTCGCTGTTCCTTAAGCTTTTCCATGGCTCCTCCTCCATCACTCCTCGTGCACCTAGGCGCTTCTGGGGCCAAGAAGGGGCTTCGTTCCTTATTCAGCTTTCCTTCTGATAGTACCTCGACTGCACGACGAGTCACCGCCGCCCCTTCCTTTGGAAGCGCCTCTGTGGCCCAGCGCTGTGGCCAGGGCTCGGCCAAGCTATCGGAGCATGCGTTCCCCAAGCCGTTGTGGGATCCCTTCGGGGAACACTTGATGGATGAAGGAGAAGCGGAGGAGAGAGCTCTTCGGGCTTTCATGGAGGTTCTCTCGGAGACCTCTTGCGGGCCTCTCGGGCCGTATTGGGCCACCTTGGGGGCATATCGTGCCATCTTGAGGGCATCTTGGGCCGTCTTGGAGACATCTTGGGGCCGTCTTTCAGAGACGTTAAGGAGGCATCTTGGAGGCCACCTTCGGCCACCTGCGCCGTCTCGGATCGGGAAAACAGGCGACCTGGGAAGTTTCTGGGTCCTCACGACAAGGGCCCGATTCGGCTTCAGGCCCGTTTCGGCTCTGGGCCCATATCGGCTTCGGCCAGATTCGGCCTCGGCCCGCTGCGGCTTCGCCGTGCTTCGGCTCGTCCCGTAGCTGGAGCTCGTTCTCGGGCCGGAGCCGAGACGGGCCGAAGCCGAAACGGGCCGATGGAGCCGAAGTAGGCCGGAGCCGAGACGGGCCGAAGCCAAAATCGGCCTCTTCCTTACGGTGTGCCGAGGCCAATGGAGAATTCAGTCTTCGGGTGGCCAGCGCATAAGGCCGAGGGCCCCTGGGAACCTTTGAAATGGACCAAGGTCCACCTAGACTTCAGCACGTCGTGCACCCCTCATGGTAAGCCGTCAGGTGGCGGCGGTGTTAGTGGCCGTCGGCCCATCCCGCCACCGTGCTTGGGTTGGGGACGCGAGGCGAAGGGGGGGCGCGGATAAGTGAAGCGCTGCTTAGTAGGACGTCGACACCGAGCGTTAGAGTTTGGATGCCTCTTGGGGGCCTCTCGGAGCCATTCCTGAGGCCTCGTGGGGGGGGCATCTCCAAAACCCCGTCGTGGCGCCTCTGGACGAATTTTTCAGGGGAGCAGTGTTGCTATGCCCCAGACCTTTCCCAGGACCAGAGCTTCGAGGAGCGGCATTGGTGCCGTTTCCTCCTCTTGTCCTTGGGGGCTTCCTGCGGCGGAAGTTTTTGTTCTACTCCGTTTCCAGGCCTCCGATGGCTTGATTTTGTCATAACGGGGTCGCTGGTGGGCCACTTCCGAGGGATTCGTTTTTTCGCCCTGACCAATTTTCCGGACGGTTTCAGGGCCCATTGAGGGGCTCCAGATTCCTTAAACGGCGAAGCAGTCCAGTTTTCATGTTGTAGGTCTACGCCACATCGATTCCTTTATGTATACTGTTTTGTTCGGGCGATCTCGTCATGGGTGAGGGCCACGTTTACGGTTGCCCGGTTTGTTCTGGAGGACATGTTGTTTGTTTGGTTTTCTTGGGGCGTCTCTGGGTTTGGTTGTATTTGTATTGCCCTTCCCACAATTCTGCGACAATCGCCCGTCCTGTGTTTTGTCAACACGTTGGAGGTTTGGGGCCAAGTCGGGCATGTCCCCCTACAGGAAGAATGCGCAAACATAGTCGTCATGCATAATCTGGGGTCGAGTCTTCGACTGGGCTTGACTCTTTTGTTTTTTGGATTTGGGTCTTTACTATAGGGGGCCACGTGCGGACCCTACCCCTACCCCCCCCCGATTTCTGAGGGGGAGGGTGGGGTTCACTTCGCTCGGGAGCTCCCGAGCGAAGTGAACCCCACCTTCCCCCTCAGAAATCGTGGGGGGGTAGGGGTAGGGCTCGCACGTGGCCCCCCATACTGGTCTTCCTTCTTCGTCGAAGAGCTCCACCCGCAGGGGGGCATGCCCGACCTCCGGCCTGGGCTCCTCCGCCCGCCCGCCCGCCCGCCCGCCGCCGCGCAGGCCGGCCCCGCTGAGCCCCCGCACCGCCCTCGCGCTGCAGCTGGGCCGGCGTGCGCGCCTGCCCGAGCGGCCCCCGCGCCCCGAGGCGGGGGGCGCGAGCTGCCGCCGCCCGAGAGAGTCGGAGGTGGACAGGCCTCCTCCTCCTCCTCCTCCTCCTCCTCCTCCTCCTCCTCCTCCTCCGCCGCATCCGCATCCATTTCCTCCTCCTCCTCCTCCTCCTCCTCCTCCTCCTCCTCCCTCTCCTCTCGGAGGTTGACAGACCTCCTATCCGGACACATCGATTGAGGAATTGGTCGTTTTCGGCTCGCGAGAGGGCGCGCAGGTCCGTTATTGTTGCGGGTCCAGGCCCGTGTGTTTCGGTCCTGGGCCGTTTTCACTGAGGGGAGGTCTACGAAAGGGAGGTTTGTCCACCGCCGAGAGAGACCGCGCCGCCTCGCTCTCTGCGCGTTTCCCAGCCAGCCTGGGGTGCTGGGTCCTCGGTTTGAGGAGGCAGCGCCCCGCGCTCCCCCTCCTCCTCTCCTCTCCTCTCCTCTCCTCTCCTCTCCTCTCCTCTCCTCTCCTCTCCTCTCCTCTCCTCTCCTCTCCTCTCCTCTCCTCTCCTCCCCCTCCTCCCCCTCTTCCCTCCTCCGCCCCAGAGGGAGCTCCACCGAAGGTCCCAGCGGCGCGCGGGTGCGTAAGCTGCCGCCGCCCGAGAAAAACCGCGCCGTCTCCCTGTGTGTGTGTGTGTGTCTCTTCTCTCTCTCTCTCTCTTTCTTTTTTTTTTTCTCTCTCTCTCTCTCTCTCTTTCTCTGCTTTTTAGTCTGCGTCGGGGTGTGCTCCGATGCGCTTGCCACTCCCGGCTTGCTTTCAGTCGGGCCTGTCGTTCTACAGGAGGGAGATTCAAAAGTCGCAGGTTGCCGCCGCCCAAACCGCGCCGTCTCTCCGGTTTAGTCTCACAGCGGGCGTTCCCCTCTACAGGAGGAAGATTCAAACATGGTCAGAATAATCGTATGGGCACGGTGTTGTTCGATCATCGCTATTCTTCCACGAATCCGCCTGCAGAGGTTGCCGCCAGCAGAGAAGAATCGCGCCGCCTCTCTCTCTCTCTCTCTCTGCTTTTTAGCCTGCGTCGGGCAGTGCTCCGATGCGCTTGCCACTCCCGGCTTGCTTTCAGTCGGGCCTGTCGACCTACAGGAGGGAGATTCAAAAGTCGCAGGTTGCCGCCGCCCAAACCGCGCCGTCTCTCCGGTTTAGTCTCACAGCGGGCGTTCCCCTCTACAGGAGGAAGATTCAAACATGGTCAGAATAATCGTATGGGCACGGTGTTGTTCGATCATCGCTATTCTTCCACGAATCCGCCTGCAGAGGTTGCCGCCAGCAGAGAAGATTCGCGCCGCCTCTCTCTCTCTCTCTCTCTCTCTGCTTTTTAGCCTGCGTCGGGCAGTGCTCCGATGCGCTTGCCACTCCCGGCTTGCTGTAAGTCGGGCATGTCCCTCTACAGGGGAGATATTCAAAAGTCGCAGGTTGCCGCCGCCCCAACTGCGACCTCCTTTTGTTTTAGTCTTAAGGCGGACGTGCCTCTCGACAGGGGGAAGATCAGGAATGGTCAGACACATCGTAATTAGGGGCACGAGTTTTCGATTATGGTTTGACTATGTTTGAATATTAGTCGACCATGTTTTCGCTTTTCTTCCAAAAATCCGACTAGGAGGACATGCCCGATCTATTTTTAGTCTGCGTCGGGCAGAGCTCCGATGCGCTTGCCGCTCCCAGCTCGCTGCCCGTATGTAAGCCTGTACTCCGGCACACGCGTTCAAGATCTTCACGCCTCGAAGAAGAAGCAACGCCATAAACATACTTAACTTTTTGGCGCTCCGCGCGGAGTTCTTGGATCCGCGCTGGGTCCCCCCTGGCGGCGCCTCCGGCGCCGTTGCTGGCGCGCTCCGCGCGCCCGGGAGGGGGGTCCAGGCCAGATCCGAGAAATCCGCGCGGAGCGCCAAAGGCTGTTTTTTGTTATTCTTCTTTTATGCCCATGTAAGCCGCTAGCCTAAATCGGGCATAGAAAACATTTCGAGCACGAAGACAGTACCGAAACTGAAGGGTTTTCACGTGTCGGGCCCTGGGGGGCGATACTCGTTCGACGCTGTTTCGATATTTTTGTTGGTGCTCAAAATGATTTTTTTGATGTGGGTCTTAAGTACGATGTGAACCCAATCACTGCTATGCCCAATTTTGTTTTGAGGAGTCCCTCGGCTGCCACGGTCGCGTCATGGACCCCAGGCGCCGCTGGGGAAAAAAACAGGCAGTGCTGGAAGAAGGGAAGAAGGTACCGATACCGTTGCTCATCCTGAGGAGTCCTCGTCCCCGAGGTAGGTTGCTCCTCGGGATCCGAGCTTCTGGTCAGAACGCGCTCCAGGAGAGGTCCAGGGATTGGCGGTATCGGTACTTCTTTGTCCCATCGCGGCGGCTGCCGCCGCCCGCGAGGCCGCGCCGTCTTTTTTCCCAACCCTCCTGCGTTGGGTTCTCGTTTTGAATCGAGCACTGCTCGCGCGTCTCCTTCCCACCCCCTCCCGTCCCTCTCTTCCACCCTGCCTTTCGCCTTGTTCGTCGCTGCGTGCCAGCTGGGGGGCTGCGATCTGTGAAACTGTCGCCACTTTCGAGGCCTGCTGGGGGGCCCAGCACAGTGGGTACCCACGGCGGACTCAAATGGGACCTCACCATCCCTGGGGGGCTGCGATCTGTGAAACTGTCGCCACTTTCGAGGCCTGCTGGGGGGCCCAGCACAGTGGGTACCCACGGCGGACTCAAATGGGACCTCGCCATCCCTGGGGGGCTGCGATCTGTGAAACTGTCGCCACTTTCGCGGCCTGCTGGGGGGCCCAGCACAGTGGGTACCCACGGCGGACTCAAATGGGACCTCGCCATCCCTGGGGGGCTGCGATCTGTGAAACTGTCGCCACTTTCGAGGCCTGCTGGGGGGCCCAGCACAGTGGGTACCCACGGCGGACTCAAATGGGACCTCGCCATCCCTGGGGGGCTGCGATCTGTGAAACTGTCGCCACTTTCGCGGCCTGCTGGGGGGCCCAGCACAGTGGGCACCCACGGCGGACTCAAATGGGACCTCGCCATCCCTGGGGGGCTGCGATCTGTGAAACTGTCGCCACTTTCGAGGCCTGCTGGGGGGCCCAGCACAGTGGGTACCCACGCGGATCAAAGGGGACCTCGCCATCCCTGGGGGCTGCGATCTGTGAAACTGTCGCCACTTTCGAGGCTGCTGGGGGGCCCAGCACAGTGGGTACCCACGGCGGACAAATGGGACCTCGCCATCCCTGGGGGGCTGCGATCTGTGAAACTGTCGCCATTTTCGAGGCCTGGCTGGGGGCCCAGCACAGTGGTACCCACAGGCGGCATTCACCCTCGCCATTGGCCTCGCCATCCCTGGGGGGCTTCGATCTGTGAAACTGTCGCCACTTTCGAGGCCTGCTGGGGGGCCCAGCGCAGTGACGCCCACGGGGACTCAATTAGACCTCGCCATCCCTGGGGGGCTGCGATCTGTGAAACTGTCGCCACTTTCGAGGCCTGCTGGGGGGCCCAGCACAGTGGGTACCCACCGCGGATTCAAATTAAACCTCGCCATCCCTGGGGGGCTGCGATCTGTGAAACTGTCGCCACTTTCGAGGCCTGCTGGGGGCCCAGCACAGTGGGTACCCACCGCAGATTCAAATTAGACCTCGCCTCCCTGGGGGGCTGCGATCTGTGAATCTGTCGCCACTTTCGAGGCCTGCTGGGGGCCCAGCACAGTGGGTACCCACCGCAAATTAAATTGACCTCGCCATCC